TGGACTATTCTCCTCATCTTTGTCGCCATATTTAGTACAACGTTTCGGCCGTTGTGCGCTCCGGCCTTCTTCAGGTGGTTTTAATGTCGAACTTAACCCTTTATTTCGCTCACTGGGGTAGACTATTCTAGTTCCACGTGCCATGTTTAATGGATGTCAGTTATCAGTTATCTCTTTTTAATTTCCCTCTGAAAGTTCTCCACTGCCTTAACTGGGTATTGAACTCACACTCTTTGGGTCCTCTCACTGGATCGGACCAACGTCTTAATCCACTTTAGGTAGATAAAGGCGTTGGTTAGATCCAGTGAGAATCAAACACTGTGAGTTCAATACCCGGTTAAGGCAGTGGGGAGGGGAATTAACAAGAGATAACTGATAACTGACATCCATTATTCATGGCACTTGGGACTAGAACCGTCAATCATTTTACGATTTAAATGTCAAATTGATTTCAACTGTGAAAGTGTTTATACAGTGTGTGAAAATCTGAGCTTATTTCAACAATAATTGCTAAAATTATTGACCTGCAAAATGATATCATTTTTTTGGGACGCCCAGTATATAATAATTATTATTTTATTACGGCGTTTGATCTAAGTAATATTTTATAATGTGTGTTCTTATAATTATTACATCAAATTGTATAGAAAATACAAATTTTGTGTAAATCATAATAAAATTGAACTCACACTGTCCCTGGATCTAACTAACGCCTTTATCCACCGTGCCATATGTCCTTAAGGACAACAATACCTGCTTAAGGCAGTAGTAAACTTCACTTAAGCAGGAACTGATGTCATCAAGGACACATGGCACAGTGGATAAAGGCGTTAGATCCAGTGACAGGACCCAAACAAAATTCAATATCAGGTTAAGGCAGTGAAGTCTTTGGAGAGGTTAATTAACATGAGATAACTGATAACTGACATCCATTATACATGGCACGTGGAACTAGGACAGTCTACCCCACTGAGCGAAATAAAGGTTTCAGTTCGACATTCAACCACCTGAAGACATGTTCTTTAGACATGTTGCATTAAGATGAGGACAATAGTTCGAATAATGTAAATAATGAAAAGATCATTGTATTCTGATAATTTTTGGTGATCTTCACAGTTATATCGCATTCTGTATGGACTACCATATCAATAAGAATGCGCATTCAGTTTTCGTGGGCTTTGATCGCGACGACAATGATTAGCTTTGATTGTTTTCTCAGTATAAATTGTAAATTCCCATATAACTGTTACAGGTCCTATCATTGCAACCGGGTCTGGGTGATATTCATACCAGTTTCTTACAGTTTCCTTCCCGTAAAGGCATATCTTCTTCTGCAGACACTGACCCACACTTCCATACCGAGTTTTATATTACAGTGGATGATAACACCATAAACTTGATCGCCAATTCTTTCTGGATTTATATCGAAGAATCTGCATTTTCAGGTTAACATAATTTTTCCCTATGTGTTTTTTTTTTAAAACATTTCAACCCAAGTAAGTCGGGCGTGCCACTAGCACACAAGGGGTTACAGAGAGAGGGAGCAACAGTAAAGGGTTGTGATAGATGAAAAGGATGAAGAGAAGGACGGAGAATTAGATCAAGGCATCTGAAATGTTGATTGACATTGCATTTCAATAATTGAAGATTATAGCTATCAGGGAAGCAAGTAAGCGGAAGGTAGTTCCACAGACAGGAAGTGCGAGATATCAAGCTACTGGAGTAGAAAAGACGGCTGCATTTAACCGTTTCGACAGTGAATCGCTGGGACTGAAATGCCAACCTAGGAACACGATTATATTAATGCAGTTTGGGAACGAGCAAAAGTAGCTCATCGGAGCAGTTACCGTGAAAATATTTGTAAAGACAGAGGGCAATGACGGTACGTCTGTGAAAAAGCGACAGTAGACGAACAGCGGGGCTCTGAATTTTGTCGAGGACCTTGAGACGAACAGATATTATTTTATTTTGGATAAATATCAGCGCTAATTTTTGTCAGCTACCCACCTAATACACTCCAAAATAAGATACCCAGAATTTGGGGGTTTTCTCAAATCAGAATTTAATAATTGCAGCTAAAACACACGCTCACTCTCTCTCTCTCTCTCTCTCTCTCTCTCTCTCTCTCTCTCTCTCTCTCTCTCTCTCTCTGATACAATGTCGCAAAAATATCAATATTTCCACGGAAAATAACCTAACGAGCTACATTGCTTACCTCTACCTGGTCAGATATTTATAACTTGGACTCGTATGAAAGATAGTCTCTTCGGACAACTGTGTTTCCAGGAGCCGCTGCCTTGGGGAATAACCTCCTGTAAGAATGTTTTTCTGACCACTACAATATCAACCTCTTCAAAAGTCACTTTCTAAACGACGTGATGTGGCATTCCTCTGTCGTTTCAACAAATATTTTAATGGCAACTTCATGACATGCATTTTTCCCTACTTCTCCGTGTAGATGAATATAAGCATGCTCCTAGGTTAGCAAATAGGCCTCACCGTTTTACTCTTGAACTAGCTAGATGCAACGCCCACTTTTACTCTAACAGTTTATCGAATGCCTCTCACCTGTCGAACCCCACTTTTGAGTTCTTGCTTCTCCATTAACTACACACTTCAAAAATATAAATGCAACATCAATCGTCATCTTCTGTCTCGTCGAATTCTTTTACTTTGTTGTCCTTTCCTTAATCCCCCACCATTTTCAATCGTCTCATAAACGTTCACTTTCACTTTCACTTTCACTTTCACTCCTTGTAACCTCCTACGTTCGAGGCCATTATGGCCTGGTTTGGAGAGAAACATGAAAAATGTCCAAAACCAGCCGTTATCTATCCTATATATGCATATAATCTTTAACGCTTACATTCATAAAAAAAGCCTCATTAAGTAAATCTCTATCTAGATTGTCTCTTGAGCCTTTTATTGGGTAAACAATAGAGTAGTAATAAGTATCAAGACACGAAGGAATTTTAAATGCACCTTCATTTTTTATAACTTATATATTATATTTCGAAATGAGACACACTGGTCACCGAGTAACTTCTTCACGCATATATACTTGTTTACGATTCTTTAAGCAAAATCCGAACGTATTGATAAAAATCGTCTCAGTACTTTTTTCTTAAATTTACTTTTTCTTTACTTTACTTTAATCTCACAGAAAAATTTTCAAATACAATTTTATTTAAAAAAAAATGCATGATTTAAAGAAATGTTTGTTATCTTTTATTTTTCTTAATTTAAATATTGCACGGTATGTGTCTCGAGATCGAAAGATAAAAAACCCACGTTTACAGACATTTGTTGATTTTTGAGGAAGAAGAACAGTACCACCGTACCTCCCAAACATGCATTTTCAAAATAGTTTTCGACTGCCATGATTTTTATGAGCGGAGGGTGTAGTAATAAAACGATGTAAGGAGGCTGAATGGCGCTTAATAAACAAAAAAATAATCCCACTAACAGTGAACAGACTTTAACTGACTTTTGGTTTCATTCCTTTAAAAGTACATGAATGAATGAATATATATATATATATATATATATATATATATATATATATATATATATATATATATATATATATATATATATATATATATATATAAAAAATTATTGATAGGAAGTTTAATCATCTCCTATTCTGTAATATACAAGTAAAACAAATCATACACACATACAAAAATACTACGGTGCCGGCTGGAGTTTCTAAAACCAACAGGAAATGAGATTCAAACGACAACTCATGAATATTTATCATGGAAGATTTTGGATCGAAATAAACTCGGCAATGAAAGCCAAAAAAAAGTCCTTGGTGAATAAATTTCTAAAGCATTGAAGTTTAAGTCATCGAATAGAAATATTTCGTTTCTTCTATCTTTTTATTTGCTTGAATGAACGCTAACGACTCACAAAGTACGGTCCAATTTAACGGTTTGTTTAGTGTAACTCGGCTCAACGCTACAGAAAATCGGAGTTACACATTGACTGTTCGCCTTCTTGAAAATATCTGAATAGGAAATAGCGAATTTAGCCAAGGTGTTATGAACAAAGAACAGAAATCACTGAGGTTCTAATGTCCGTCTTAAATACCATGTCCCTGTAGGACGTAAGGTATTACGTAAAGTCTGTACAGGTGATGGCGAGGAAGAGGGAAATAGATAAAATATCCGACTTAGTTGTCTCCGTTCACTTGTGTTACTGAAAAAGGAATAAATTCCTCTCTGACAAAAACCTGTATTTTTTCAAACAAGATTTTTTTTCCGTTTCCAAGGAAAAATGATGCTGCGGAGTTATCGAATCGTTACATTTCTATTATTTGATAAATGAAAGCGGTGGAATGATTTCGAAATTTGCAGAAAATACTTCAATATATCTTTGCAAAACCCTAGTCTTCTCGTTTATCTCTCATAATATTAAGAAAATTAAATTAATAATCTATTACAAAAAAATAGTTAAGCTTATCACAACAAATGACAACACTCCCGCAAAATCTAGACTACAAAGCACTACCATTATTGACAAGTTGAAAGAACTGTGCCCCTGATGAAACCAAACTCATAAATAATTACAATAGTCATACTACTACATGAATATCTGGACAACTTATGTTATACCTACCGGATTATATTTACATTAGGACCAATTTGCATTTACATTTAGCCATTTAAAAATCGCCCTTGATAACGGCTACAAGAATAGCCGAAAGCGCTCGTATATGCACAAATTCTGGAAAGTTTTTTTTTTTTTTTTTTTACACGTTGTGTTCTGAAAAGAAAACACTTCTACGAACACAAGAAAATATATATAAAAAGCTTAATCGCAGTACCTTGTCAGTCGTCTTTAACGAAACATGTATAAAAGAGGGATTGCTGCCCAAATACACAATGCACACACACACACATATATATATATTTATATTTATATATATATATATGTGTGTGTGTGTGTGTGTGTGTGTGTGTGCGTGTGTGTGTGTAGAGAGAGAGAGAGAGTGACTAAGGGAGAAAGAGGGAGAGACAGACAGAGAATGACCGAGAGGTAGACTGAATGAAATAAATATAATAGAACCAAAAGTGATTGGTCGAAAACAGGGCAGACAATTAAATAGATAGATAGATAGATAGATAGATAGATAGATAGATAGATAGATAGATATGAACAGTCTGAAATAGATGTTAATACTAAAAGTGATAGATTAGTGAACAGGGGAGCAGAAAGATAATTAATCCTCTTCTTCTCCCTCCAGATATCGGTAAATAGAAGGACAGACTGGGTTCTATATGCTTAGATGGCAACTATGAATTCAAAACCTGTGGAGGGTCGTTTGGGGACCTTGTGGCACGTAGTGCACCAGGTCTATGTATTCGGCCCTACAAAAAGCGTAGTTGGTTCTGCACAAAGCCGTCAGCACTATAATCAAATCATATGTGTTGGTGTATGGCTGTCGGTTCCTAGGAACTGAACTGCTTGACCCTCATACGCCGAATACAACGGGAGAGTCCACCATATATGCATATATGTATGCATAGATAGATAGACAGATAGATATGGACTCACTGAGATATATAATAATAATAATAGATAGATAGAGAGAGAGAGAGAGATTTAGACATCGACAGAATGAGATGTATAACAACATCAAAAGGGATTTGGCGAAAAACGGACATAGATAGATAGATAGATAGATAGATAGATAGATAGATAGATAGATAGATAGATAGATAGACGAATGGATATTAAAAAAAAACTAAAGAATTTACTTATACGAATATAAACATGGCAAAATAAATAGAAAGATAACTATGAAAGGACTATAATAGATACATTAAAAAATAAATCTCATATATATATATATATATATATATATATATATATATATATATATATATATATTATGAGTCATATATAATTATATATCGTCAGAGAGCAGACAGACAGGCACATAGAGTTAGATAAATAACTTGATATTAACTTTAAAGATGTAAGATATTATTATTTAACGTACTTTTACAAAATGAAAAATATAGCTGTATTCTTTTTTTCTCTTGGACGGACATTTACTGATCCATGAAAACACCATTGATTTTTTTTTATCCTCTTATAGATCGTCCTTGGTAAAGCAAACAACATATATAAAAGGTAGGCAAGAGAGCAAAAAGAAAAAATAATAGATTCCTATCTCTTCGGCGTACCTTAATGAAGGATGTCTTTTCTAGACAGTCTTCTGTTTTTCGTGTTCTTTCTTTTTATTCGCGATTCGAACGTCTCCCTCTCTTGAAGCAGCGGACACCGGCGGCACAAATGAACCGTAGAATTCAAAGAGTCAAGTCTTGCGAATCAAGCGTAAAACGGAAATTACATCGGTTCGATGACAAAAAACAATTGCTGAGCACCACCTCCCCACTTCTGATCGAATTTTACTTATTTCCGTTTTGCTTAGCAATGAACTTTCCCTTCCTTGTTTTTTAATAATAGAATTAACTTTATTTGTTTGGGCGTGTCTATATTTCGGGAAAGATTTTTCCCCCTTCAATGATCAGTTTATTTTTCTTTTTTCTTAATGTCTAAAAATACACGTACATCATTTTTTCCTTGTTTCCATAGAACTGTGTCTTGGCTTAAATCATAGAAAAATAGAATAACTGTTCTTGCAGCAAAGACTTTACCTCTTCAATGATTTATTCTGAACAAATCATCTGAAAAATGGTCAATAATCAATATATAATAAAAGGATCTATACACTATCATCACCCACTTCCATGGGATCGAACCGCTAACAATTTGCACCGAAATAGATAAACATATTGCAGAACACCGTTGCTGGCATAAGATTTCTGGAAAAATATAGATTTATAATAAATTAGGTTATATTTACATAAAGAAAAGTCGGGGGAAAATGAGGATGATTCGACTCCTTGAAAGTAACATGGCCTGTCCTAGCTGTTAATGTCTAAACCGGTGGAACTAAAGAACGAGGTTTATCTGAATATTTTTCGCAGCGATATCAATAGCGATAGAGAGGATAATAAATCTTGCCCTACAGGAAAACGAAAATATGTTTCGTTTATTTTTTAATTATGCCAAGCTTTCGAAAGTAAGTTTTTAGCAGTCCCAAATTTAGATATGGCGGCAACGTTTCGTGATAGACAATTATTCCGGCCAGAATTCATCTTGAAGTTTTATAAATCTACCTTTCTTCCGTGCCTTGAAAATTGGCGCCACACTTGGCCTGGTGCTCCTGCTATATATCTCGAGATTCTTGAGAAAATCCGATGATGTGTCTGTAAAGTTATTCTTCCTGATCTGACATTTTCGTTTCAGTGATTTTCTCATCGCTGTAATGTGGCTTCCCTGTTACCTAGAAAGATGTACTTCCAACCGATCTTGGAAATATGCATTTAAAAGTTTCACATCAGGACACGATCATCAACATCAGAGGTTTGTCGAATATAAGCAATTATTGTAGCAATTAGTTTGACTATTTGCATAAAATTCTCCAGCAAATAAAAGAGGTTTACTGAATTAATTTGTCATATTCGCATTTAGGTGGGACAAGGTAAATATGAGGATATGTATGATATATAACGGTTGACTCTAGACTTGAAAAGGATAGAATCGAAAGAAAAGGAACGAAGTCCCGTCTATAGCCGTGTAACGTGCGATCTCTCGTATCATGCGACCCCTAAATTTTTCTTATACAAAATTCTATTATCATGTATCTCGTGTATCATACGAGTTCCTCTTTTGAGAGACCAAATAACAACAGAAAAACCTCTCTCTCTTTATCCCACCTGGTAGTTAAACAAGTCAAAGAGAATTATAAAAGTATCGTTAGTAACGCTATATACCTTTCGTTAGAGCGTTCAGCCATAAGCAACCGAACGAGAAATATCATACAACAATATAAAGAATGGAAAAAATGCATATTCATTATCAGTGCATTTTATAATAGGATACTAATAAGTGGATATTACAAGACTTATTACTGGATACAGTTAAGTAAAACATCAGTTTTATCAAAATTATGTTTATGTTAAATACACCTGTTCTTTTGACTACAGGAAATGGATAAAAAGTCTAGTCAACAGGGGCACCTTCAGGAGGTGTAATGGTTAGCAAGCTTGTCTCACTAGAGCAATTACGACTGAGTAGTCAGTTCGATCCTCAGTGGGTTCCCCCTACTTTCGGCCTTGTGCCACATCTAAGCTACACTTGGAAAATCAATATAGTTTGGTCAGCAGCTTAGCCAGAGCCAGTAATACATACGCTAGTTTTATATCTCATGTATGATTCAACCTTCTTAAAATTACCTTCAAAATTAGGTTTTCAAAAGACGCATGGTACGCGAGTATATACGGTATCCTATATTACTCAAATTAAGAATATGGAGGAGAACATGAGATATTGTATTAAACTCAAAATATCATCAGCAACTGCCTGACATTTCATTCCTACAGGAATGTCAGGCACTTGATGAGGAGAAATGGGAAAAAAACTGGAAGAGGCGAGGAGAAAACAGAGATAAAGACGATTTGAAGAAATAAATGTGGAAAGTAAGTAAAAAAGCTAGAGAAAAACGAAAAGTAAAATGGTTGAACATAAACCTAAATATATTTGGCTTAACGTTTTCCGCTGACATGTACTGTAAAGATCATATTGAATCAATTGCTAGGTATACTTCTAGGAGAGTCGGTATCAAGCTAGACAGTCTTTTTTTCTCGCCAGAATCAATCTTACATATTTATAAATTTACCATCCGTCCTTGGTTTGAATATTGCTGCCACATATATTTAGAGATTTATGATAAAATCCAAAGAAGAATCTGCAATGTTATTCGTCCTTATCTGGCATCTCAGCTTCAGTCACATCCCCATCGCTGTAACATAGCTTTCCTGTGCACTTTCTATAAATACTTTCATGTTTATTGCTCTTCAGTGTTAATTTATGGAACACAGACTTTATGAATCTCATAAGGTGTCATAATTTTACAGTGGAAATGGCTATATGTTAATTGTAGGATATCTTCTTAATTATGGAACTATCTTCCGATTTCTGGCATCCCAGGCAAATTTAATTTTCAAGAATCTAAATTACGCGAAAATGAAAACGAAAATGATACTGACATCTCATTTTAACAGATATATTTACCAAAATTACACAAAAAATATCATAAAATATTAAAGAGTATATTTATTCAATAAATCCCTACTGGCGCCCAGATGACTTAAAAAGTTCATGCCTCTCTTTGTGACATTAGTATAAGTTGGTGAATGCTGCCATATCCCTTGCCTTCAGTTCATCTTACAAAGAATTTCGTTGGTTTCTCACTAAACTGCGCCCCACACATAATAATCAGAAGGTTGTAGTATAGCGAATTATAAGGGGTGATGTGATCACAGAAATTGTCTGACAGCTGTGACTGGTTTCTTCTACTTGTGTGACATGGTGCAAAGTCTTGTTGCCATACATAGGTTCTTTCATCAGACAGCTTCTTGACACATAGCATCACTAACTCGTCAAGTCACTTAATGTAGACTTCCGTGTTGAGTCTGAGAAGTGGGAAGAGGAATGGAGGCCTAACGTCGCCATCATCACTAGTGACCACTTCAAACACCATGATTTTGATTGGATATATCGTACTGAAATGTTCCTTCTGGAGCTTTCGGTGCGAATGCCAAGTAGTACAGCATGCCGTTTCCAATTTTCTGGCGGTGTAAATTGCGTCATGGTGCTCGTTTTTTTTTACAGATGGTGCCCAACTCACCCTACCATACTGTGCAGTCGACAAAATCAATATTTTAGTAAGGAATCATTTAACATCTAAGTAATGCCAATACTATATTTTATAAAAGATTGTAATGACACCGACAAACATTGATGATCTCGAATCGCCAGCAGTTTCCTCAAACATTTTATCTGTAATGTATATATATACATATATATATATATATATATATATATATATATATATATATATATATATATATATATATATATGGTATGGAGCCCTTCTGTTTGCCTCGGGGTTCTTGATAAGATTCAGAGACGGACATGCAATATAATTGGCCCTGATCTGGCATCTCGTCGGCAGTCGCTCTCTCACAGACGTGCTGTCGCCTCTCTCTGTCTTTTTTACAAATACTTTCATGGTAATTGCTCCGATGAGCTGCCTTCGCTAGTTCCCAGACTTCGCGAATTGGAGCGTCGTATGAGGCTGGCATCCTACTCTCACCTTTTCACTATTGAAACTGTTAAATGTAGCCGTATTTTCTACTCGAATAGCTTCATATCTCGCACCTCTCGATTGTAGAACTCCCTTCCCTATCCCTGTTTCCCTGTTAGCTATAATCTCAAACTATGCAAATGTAATGTCAATCGACATCTCCAGTTGCCTTGATCTATTCACTATCGTTTTCCTCATCCTTTCCTCTATCATTCCTATCTGCTATCGCTCCAAATCCTCTGTACCACCTTGCGTACTAGTGGCTTCCAGCCTTGCTTGGGGTGAAATGCTTAATATATATATATATATATATATATATATATATGTATATTTGTGCCTGGGGGGTAATGGATAAATTGTAGAAATTACGCAGAAATGAAAATAACACTGACATCTCATTTTAAGAGCTATATTTACCAAAATTACACAAAAAATATCTTCAAATAATAAAGAGTAAATTTGTTCAATAAAATCGCCATTGCACACTTGACCCAGGGCAGCACTACCTTCTCAAGGCACATGATGGGAGCTCTCAGTGTTAAGTCTGAGGCCCTGTGGGAAGATGAATGGAGGCATAACGTCGCCATTACTCGTGATCACTTCAAACACCATGATGTTGATTGGATATATCATCCAAGTCTTTTCAAATCCTTTGAACTATCCTCAGATTGACACCAAACGCTCTAAAATATTTTTATTGAAGTTTCCGGAGCGAATGCCAAGCAGTACAGCAGTTACCAATTTTCTGATGGAGTGAATTGCGTTATTGTTTTCTTTTTCTCAAAGACGGTAACCAACTGACTCATTCGCGAAATTAATAATATAAAATGGCGACAATTTATCCATCGCGCCCTGTACATATATATATGTGTGTGAGTGTGATTGTATGTGAGTGTGCGTCTGTGTGTGTGTGTTAACGATGTTTTTAATAAAAAAAAACTCCACATACACACTATTCAGCCCTGTATTTATATGTATGTGCGTTTGAGTGTATGTAAGTAAGTGTGTGTGTGTGAATTTACGTTTTCTTGAATAAAACTGTTGCACTTACACACCATTCAGCCCTGTATGTATATGTGCGTGTGTGTGAGTTATATGAGTGTGTGTGCCTTCGTGTGGTTGTGTGTGTGTGTGAATTTACGTTGTCTTGAATAAATCAATTGCGCTTATACACCATTCAGCCCTGTATTTATATGTGTGTGAGTGTATTTGAATGTGTGTGAGTGTATTTGAGTGTGTGTGCGTGTGAATTTACGTTGTTTTGAATAAAGCAGTTGCCATTACACACCCTTCCGCGATGTATTTATGTGTGTGTGTATGTGTGTGAGTGTATTCGAGTGCGCGTCTTTCTGTGTACGTGTGAATTAACTTTGTCTTGAATAAAACAACTGCACTTACAAAACATTCAGCCCTGTATATGTGTGTGAGAGAGAGAATATGTGAGTGCGTGTGTCTGTGCGTGTGAATTAATTTTGTCTTGAATAAAACAATCGCACTTACCATGCTGTCGTAAAGAAGCGCTGTATTAAACTCTGTATGCAGGCATATATGACTATTAGAAGAATGAAATCTATTTTGAAAACACCGGCCCTGATACTTAGGGAAGCGTTAAAAGAACGAGACAGGAGGAGAAACAAAAATAGATCACTGACATCAGTTATCTGATTGATATAGAAACACAATTTTTGACAATCTCTCCGAATAAGCACAATAAAATTTGTAAGTTACCTGGCTACAATGAACCCGTTTGGCCATCCGGGCTCTTGAAACGTTGCCAAAAGAATACTGTTTCCTCTTTCAAGCATTTTACATTACGCTACTACAAGGCAGTCTTCGTTGGTAGTTGGGAAGTTGGGAAGGAGGAAATGTAGGTCCAGGATGTGGGTAGAGGTGGCTTGCTTTGATGGTTTCCATTGGCTTTCCGTCTAGTTTATTTTCATTGCAAATCACCGAAGCTGGAATAAGAGGTTTGGACGCGAAAACTATAAATGCCTCCCAACAAGAGACGATAAAGAATCGGAACCAAAAGAAAAAAAGAATGTGCGACAGATAGATAATATATATATATATATATATATATATATATATATATATATATATATATATAGAAAAGAGAGAGAAATGTTGTCATCCTTGGTGGTGTAGGATAACAGGGGACGTGGACAAAGAATAAAGTATAGCGGAACAAATAAAGACAAGCGATTGTCTTGACTGAAATCGATAAGAAAAGTGATTGATCTGCCAGTTCGACGGATACGATATACACGCACATGCAGCTGAGAAATCGTCGCGGACATCCAAGAAATATTTACAAACAGATTTGAATGAACAAAAGAGAGTGTCTTGCATATAACGCGACGAGTGTTTCAGGCAAGTATTTGAATTCAAAACAGTTATCTAACTGCAAGAAGGTAGTTCACCACAGACCAACATGTCTCACGATACCTGGCGCATTTTTAACAAACACCTATAGGTATGCTTTCCTGGACTCAATTTTAACCTGTAGAGGACCGTGGCGGTGATTAGCATGTAGAAGAATACACGTGGGTAGAATTTTTCCTGCTAGCCGGTCACACTACATGAGAAAGTTGTACTTACGTTAAGTCCAAAGAAGGTGTAGACTCGTCCTTTTCTACCTATCACCCCTAGTATCAGAACAGTCTATACCTCCGAGTCTAGCTGAGTCGTGATACAGCCTTTGACTGTAAGCGACATCTGTCGAACTCTCTGCGTTAGCAGAGAGGAACCCGGACGAAGCTTGGCCGAAGGGCAAGGTTTCGTCCGGGGAGGTAGACAGGGCCTGAACCCGTCTAGGTGGGTTCAAAGGCTATATTTTTGGCCTAGCCTACGGGCTCGGAGATACCCACATTAAACCGGCCTTGTGCCATATTCAATCCTCGTGGGTGGGTCGATAAATACCGAAAAGTCTATACCTTACGCCTACGTACGGAAAACATCGACCAATAAAAAACCGTACTAGGCGAATCAACAAATCTCATTGGTTAACGACACAATAATCTGACGTGCAAAACAAAATTGCACCAAAACTTCTTTGGAGCCGATTTTGGCCTTTCAAAAACATATAAAAGAAAACATCGACTGACCAAAAAGGTCAGAGACGAACATCCACAGAGAAATTGCTAACATACTCCACGTCACTCGAAATCACGACTTTACCGCGCAAAAGTACATCAATGCTGATTCACTTGCAATTTAAACTCGACCAACTCTGTGGACATCAAATCGCAAACCTAAAACAACTTTGCTTATCCAAAGTGAACGATATTCACTACATTATTAAGTAAAAGTCGACATTCGAACGATTCAGAAATATTACAGTCAAAGGTATACCACTCTATAAGAACTCATTCCAAAAAACACTTAACATCGACATTTTTAATGTTAACACAATTCCAGAAAGACTGTAACTGAACATACAAATACAAAAAGAGACATACCGAAACCTCAAATATCACACACACTTTGGCATAGTAACATATACCAAAAATATCTGGTATATATATTACTTTTAATTGTATATAAATGTTTTATTGGTTTCTAAATTGAATATGTCTTGTTTTTGATTGTATTTCAAATTCGTTTATTTATTGATTTGTGGATGCAGAAAGTCATGCAACCTACACAAATTCCTTCTGATTCACTCAATTATAGTTAATTAATTCTGCACACCCCCAACAAAGGCAAAGAAAAGAAACATGACCGATAAACATATGTAAACAAATATATGTATTAATAACAAGTTAAAGGTTACAAGTTACATGGACAGTTACATTGACAGTGTGTGTGTGTGGTGAATATTATGTGTGTGTGTGTGTGTGTGTTGTGGTGTGGTGAGTGTTCGTACATACATGTATTGTTCTTAGCGTGTTCCCAGAATTTGGGAAACGCTGTATCTGTGAGAGCTAACATCTGCGAAGTGATATAAGACCGAAGGCCTGAGGAAAAACAACATCGAGGCGAAGGATCAGCCAGTATTCATAGCCAGGGGAGAGAGAGAGCCCTGGTGAAGGGTTAAGGATATGAGGAGCTATCTCCGAGAAACCTTTTCATGTCAAGAATAAGTCGTTAGTTTCAGGTCCTTCTAACTCCAATTACCTTCCTATGCCGCTTAACATTAAGTACCCCATTTAACATGTGTGGCTGTTTTGCCTTTTATTGAATCCAATTAACTACAAATTGCGGCGTACAAGTCGACCTCTTGTACGATCAACATCAAGAACCCTATACATATGATAGGCGAAGAGTGGCCCCAAACGTAGCCCACAAATGGCCCAAAACGTAGGCTTGCCGGTAAATTAAATTAGGCTACAGTATACGATACCCTGTGTAAAAACTACATACGGTCAAATTATTTACTGTGTATTATGACACTAACCTGTTATATAATAATAAAGTGTCGCTGCCGACACTGCAGTTTGAACACAGATCAGCAGAGAGCAAACACAGGCTATCCCATCTTGAATAAGTAGATCACGTGATGGTAAAGGAATGTATATATGGGAATTAACGTGGCGTCTAAGGGATCTCTCTCAGAATTACTTCGGAGGTGTGCTTGTCGAACTCTCTGCCCAGAGGCAGAGATGAACCCAGACGAGGCTATGCAGAGTCTCGTCTGGGGTGGTAGACAGCTATCCGACCCCGTTCTTTATGAGGTCTACGTGGAATTTTTACCCGACCTCACGGGCTCGGATACACCACATTAAACTCGGCCTTGTGCCACATCCGACCGCGTGGGGTGATAGGTGAATATCATCACTAACAGGATTACTTCGGAAGTGTGCTTGTTAAACTATCTGCCTCTGGGCAGAGAGGAACCTAGACGAGGCTATACCGAAGGGCAGAGTCTTGTCTAGAGTGTTAGACAGCTACCCCACCTCGTTTTTTACAGGGTTTATGGGGAATTTTTGCCCGAGCCTACGGGCTCGGATACCCCATTATAGACTTGGTCTCGTGCCGCATCAGGCTACGTTGGGCGGTAGGTGAATATCTCACTATAGGGATTACTGTTTGGGTCACTATTTGATGGTTACTATTAGATCGATTATTATCGATCAAGTACTATTAGTTCGAGGGATATTCGAAGGCGTCTGACACCAGTATTGTCCAACGGTGTTTCTATAGTTGTATCTGCGATTATAAAGTTTCTACTACAACGAGCATTTCGAGAGAGATAGCCAGTATTCGTTGTCATCACAAACGTGGCAATGAGGGTTCGTTGATATCACAAAATAACTGTAATATATTTCCATACGCGTTGTAAAGCAAATAACGTAGAACAAACACCAATAGGTAGAGAAGTGAAGTCTTGATTCTTTTTTACGCATTTACTTACGTTACTATTTTATTATTTTATGTTAATTTCTTTGTTAAAATGCAAAGTTTTAGCAGGATATAATGGTGACAACCTGCTGGAAGTGTTGTAAGTGGTGTACAGTAATTGTTAGGAATGCTGTCCCATTTATTTAAAACTCAGTGATACAGGTTTGCATTTTATACCTGGCATATGATTCTATCAGTAGTTTGGACATTTTTTTTTTTTTAGGTTTCAAAATTCAACTTGTACGCCGCAATTTACAGTAGTATAAAAATAAGTATCTAGTCTCTTGAAGAATGATCAGATTCATTTAACTATTTCCTTGCCAATGACCTATCTCTGTGGTTTTTAACCATTTTTTTACCCATGGACCACTTTTATTCTTAATTCTTTTTGGTGGACCCCCATAACAATTCGAATAAAAAAAAAGCTTATTTTATTTTTACTAATAAATAAGTTTAGGAATTGTATTATAGAAATAGAAATTGTATATGATTCATTTATATATAATCCTTATTTAATCTATATATTAAATTAATTTTATTGTTAATATTTTTTTAATATTTTATATCGATTAATTTATATTAATATATTAATATTTTATTTTAATTAATATTTAAAATATATTATTTATTATTAATATATTATTTTAATATATATAATAAATTACAATATTTCTAATGTTTCTGCTAGTTTTAGCGTTGCTTTTTTTCGAATTTTAGTATTTTAATATAGCGTAGATTACTGTAGAAATTCCAAATCTCAGTTGTGACAACCGCTCTGAAGTGAAATTGCTCTATGGACCATTAAAATACTACAGTGAACCCCCAATCTTTTATGTTTTTTTTTCCTCCAGCAATGTTACCTGAACCCCTTGGGTCCATATAGACCCCGGTTGAGAAATACTGCCCTATCTGAATCCTTCGTAGTGTTCAGTTCATGGTATTCTCGGCATCTTTCTGTAGAAATGCATTTATTTTGCCTGGTGTCTTTTCTTTGTCAGTAATGAGATTGTTCAGCATTCTTTGACATATCGGGCAACCCGTATTAGATAGCAGTTCAGAATTCATTTCTTTGTCTCTAAATGAATGGTTGGCTGAATTAATACAAATTCTTTTGGATAAGTGTTCGAAATATTTTATTAAGGATTCGTTTAAACTTGTCCCCTTAAATCTCTTAAAAAGTAAATTTGATCTTTTTACATTATCAATTTGATGACATGCCTTCCACTGTATCGTAGTAATCTCTCACAACTCCGTATTCCCGAAACTATTTTATTTAGTTTATTTTGTCACCATGTTTGTTGAATTTCTTTTTTTCCGGAAACTCTCCTTCACGTGATCATATGTTACATGGGATTTGTTTTGTCCCAGAGGTTATAAAATTTATCTTGCATGATATTTAGTTAATACACCATATA